AATTCTAATGGAGTCTTAAATTGGTATTAGGAGGAATGATTAATTGTGAAATCAGAACACCTGAAGATAAAGAAGAGTTTGCTGAGTTTATTTTTTAGATTGATTTATATGGCTGCCCATCTTGCTAAATGTGACTCAGGGCAGCTAACAAAGATAAAAAACAATACAATAAATAAGAAACAATAACAAAAAACATAAAATAGCTGCAAGAAACCATGCAACCAGCAAATATGGGTTCAACTACTCTCATGCCCAAGAAAAGAGTTGCTCTGTGTTAGGCTGATAACTGCAGAAGAATGAGACTGACAAGTGCAACATTTGTAATCATTTTATTTTGTTAACTTTTAATAAAGTTAAACAACTTCTCAATATATTAGACTTTCTGGATTTAGCTTCCAACTGGATGATGCCTTCCTTACATTTCAGCTTCTCTCCCACTACAAAATGACAGGCTGGCTCTGGCAGGGCTCCACATGTTGCTACTCAAATCTGTTCTGCAGACTTGTTCTCCAAGTCAGCTAAAGTTCTACTTTTGCTTTCAGCGGGACTCAGATTGTCTTTTGGGACTTGATTACTTCACTTTATGTGGAAGAAGACTTCAGTCTGCCAGGCCATGGAGGGAAAATAGCCCAAGGTGAAGAATCTCAGCATATGAAAGCAGGAAAACCTCTTCATTGTTTTGTGAGGCCTAAAAGTCAAGCTAATATTCTTGAGAATATATGATGAAAGCATGCTATAACTCTACTCGTAATCAGGAGAGTTATTTATTGTCAGGTATCAGAGCAGCCCTGAGTCAGGCCTTCCGTTCTGTTTCATTTTTTCTACAACCATGGCCTTAGCAAGAGAAAGCTAAGGAAGTTGCTATGCCAACCCAAATTCACGTATGAGCTACAACCTGGCAGTGCTAAGCATTTTCCCCATACTGATGGCATTTTAGGCTCCTGCAAGGACATTCTTAATCTATCTCAAGGAGTATGGCAGAGACCTGTCAAAAGCACTGCCACACGTAAGGATTCTTAAGAGTCCTTGCAGAGGAAGAAAAGGGGAGAAAATTCCAGAGAACTTTGGCACTGCCTGCAATTAGCCATCCTTTCTTCTCCCTTGTCTGCCTGAAAGGGCACCAGCCATCACTGATGCACATGCCCGCATGCCTAGAGACCTAACTGGGTCCCCAGACAGTCAGGGTGGTATTGCGAAATCCATTGTAGGGATTTCAGAGGGCCCAGAGAAAAATACCATTAGGGGATGATCCCTGAGGAAATGCAGGGTCAAGAAAAGTCTCCTTCAAGTCAAGGTGGACTTCTGGTAACATTGAGTCAGTTAAATACTGGGGGCAGGAAAAAGCAGCAGTTATGGCCATGCTTGGAACTGTGGACACTTGCAAGCTATTTTCTTTTCATTTTGCTTGGTCCTAATAAAAATGCAAGAGTTGTGCATTTCGGTCCTTGGCGTAGACTAATGTATGATTGCTTTCTGCATTGGCTGTCAAGAGGTGAAACCCATTCCCTCTTGTTCCATATTCAATAATTAGTGGACTGCTTTTCTAAAATCCTTATGCTAATCATATAGGTTTTCATTATTTCTCAGGAGGTTTTTTTTTAATTACTCTAAGTGAAATTGGCCGTAATTTGTAAAATATATGCGGATAGAATATGTTTGCTTATTTTACCAGCTGGGAATAGGTGCAGATAATCTGAATACCACCACTGATACTTTACACTGGTATGAATTTCTTTCCATGGTGTTTGCATTTCATCTTCAAACAATATTTTCTTGATTTTTGTTTGCCGCTTGGTTCACAAAATATCCTTCAGCAGATTGCAAAACAAGCTCAAAACAGAAGCAAGCTGCAGTTTGAGACATCAAAGAAACTGCAATTCTTCTTTCTTTAGTTAGGGTAGAGGGAACACACTGTGCTTTAAAAAAACAAATGTGATATTATTCCACAACTGAACAATTCTTACATGTTAGATCTCACTTGTAACAGATGCTACATACCAGGTAACTGCAGCTGACAATCTTATCTTCTCTAGATAATAGCAAAGCCTTCTCTAGGTCTCTGTCTATGGACAGAGCCCATGGTGGAGTCGGCATTTTTCTGATGCATGAATGGTTGTAGATCTGATAAGTCTGGCAGAGCTCCTGGTAAATTGTTCATCTTTCTCAAATCTCACATCATAAGAAACACTTAGCTGTAGTCATTTTCTCCTCCGTTAACTCATCTTTTCAGATTTAGAAAAGTGGACTTAATTTACCACTTTGAGATATATAAAAGAGCAACAGGAATTATGGATAAACAAAGAAATTGGAACATGGGAAGTAGACTTGATTTATGCAATTGCTGAGTTGAATTTTAAAATGAATTTAGATTTAGTGCTGGCATATCACTGTCTTTCAAATTAATTGGCTTTTCTTACCAGCATCTCATCTATTACTTTGGACAGCAATTTGAGCATAACTTCCTTTACATTCAGCAGCAGGGGGACCCAGTACAAAATAACTTACATTTTAATGTATGGAAGATTTCTCCTACCTGTTTACAAATCTGATCTTTGTCAGCCTCATAAGATTCCACTTACACCTTAGCAGAATAGTATATCAGTCTTCTCCCTTGTCGCTTCCAAACTTGTTAATGTTCTTTTAAAAGAACATGAACATGTATAACAAATATATCTGTGGGGCCAATCCTACGAGGTAGGTCAAACCTGAAAACACTCCATGTTGTCTATTTAGAGGTTTCGCTGCCACAACTCTTACTCCAGACACACAAGGACCCAGTTTTATAGACATGATGTGTTTTTGAAGGGAACAAAATCTTCTTTTTAGAGCCTTCTTTGATCCAGCAGCATCTGCAGGGGAGGTTCAAACTGGCAAATTGCATACATAGCATTGCAATGGAAGCCTCACCCCTTTTGTACAGGGGTTGATGTCACATATATGTACAAAGGTGCAGGGTTTCAGTCATAATGCTGCAACTGACATCTTACCTGTTTTGACCCCCCACCCCCACCCCAATGCTCCTACTTTGATCTTATTAAAAACCAGGGAAGTATAAGTGGAAAGCAACCTGGCATGGAAAGAATGCTAATTCAAGCAAGCAAAAGAACCAAGTCAATTCCGATTTTCAATTAAGCATATTGATTAATGACCAACACACAGAAAAATTCAACAATTGCCAATTTCCTTGGAAACGACAGGAATCACAATAAAACATTAGCTAGATGACTCTATCTGGAACTTCACTTTAGGAATAGGTCACCAGTGTAGGTTGCTGGGAGAAGAGGTCAGCCTCTGATCAGATCTTGAGTTTTGTCAGCTAGATGAAGCCAAGCAAGATTCCACAAAAGTATTTATCTGGAAGTTTGGCAGCTGTCTGAGTAGGACTGGAAATTGAAACTGACCAGTCTTCAATTGTTTTAGCTATGCTTTGTATAGGTGTAGAAACCAAGTTTTAGCAGTCTGTTAATTTCTGCAAAGGCACTCCTGGAAATAAAGCCAGTACGACTGGCTTTAGCCCCTGGAGATGCTGCAGCATTTTCAGAAAACTTATTCTGTTTAACGATGTGTTAGTGATCTTAATGCTCTTCATAAATTCTAACTGTAATCTATGTCTGTTTCTTTCTGTATTCTTGAATATTCCTGAATGTTAACAGCACATGCACGCAACTACATCTGTAGTGTCCTTTTAGTAACCAATATGCATTGAGCAGTACCTCTGTTTATTCCAATATTAATTGAAATTAATCTCAGAGGCTCACAGCAGCTTGTTATAACACCCCCCCCCCCCAAATAATTGGCTCCATCATTAAGACACTCCAGTGTATCATTTACAAGAAAATTGGCAGAAGTCCAAGAGAAAGGCAACCAGCAACAGGGAAGCCATAAGGATAAGACTGGTTCCCAGTACCGATTCTATTGGATGGCATTGGCTGTGTCAGATGAACCCTTGTGCAAACAGCACTGCCAATCCACAATCACATTATTTGGTGTGAACCCATGTTTGCCAGGGACCATGACCTAAAACGCGGAGAGGGTCACCAGCATGGATTCCTATCATCTCTAGGATGTCAGAGGATACAATCTTTATCTCCATAAAAACCTTTGCTTCTTTTCTATTAGGCATCACCTTTTTAAACGACAGGAAAACTCATCACAGAAACTACTCTCTAGCCAGATGCATACCTTATACCGAGGGTCTTGCCTATCTTAATTAGTCTCTTGCCCACACAGATGATCCAGTGTAAGGATCACATAAAAGGTGAAGCTGTCAGGATTTTCATTCTCATGGGAAAGGATTCATCCCGTTAGCTTTACAACAATAACAAATAATATTTTGACTACAGAGATCATGTGAAAAACACCTGTTATTGTGTGTTGTGTATTGTGCTACACCTGTTATTGTGTGTTGTGTATTGTGCTACACCTGTTATTGTGTGTTGTGTATTGTGCTATTTACTGCCACCTATTGGTGTGTGTATGCTAGTTACCCAGTGGGGGAGGCATAGAGCTATAATAAAAGGAGAGGAAAATATTCAGTCTCTCAGAGTAGTTGTCAGCTGTTTTAGTGTTAGCCA